AAAGCACTGAATGCTACAGGGCATATTAGTGTTTTTATGCTTCAAATCTATCTTTATGTAACTTCAGAGCTCATTAATATATACCGTTTTGTGTGATTAAAAAACAACAACCTGGCGCTCGAGGAGCTTTGAACAGGAGAATGGATCTCAAGGAAAATGGCTTTCTTCTCATTATGCAGATTTTAAAACAGACATGAGATGGGCCCAGCGAGTCAATGGACAAGGTACAACTTCTGCAAGATAATCATTCCCTGACTGCAACTGAGAGCAGACTGTGCTTAAAAAATAAAAACCAGAAAGAGACAAACGCTATTCAAAACATAAAGAATTTCACATCATGATTTCACAATAGTGGACAAAAATGAGTGAATATCCCATGATGGTCCTTTTAAGGCTGTTTAAAATCCCAGGAAAAGCCATGCTCTTTTGCTGGGTGAAAACCTGGAGGCTGCTGATGAAGCACAGTTCCCTCAGTTGCAGCCTGAAATGTTGCCTCAAACACTACTGTGCCAAACAAGGACTAAGATTATGTGTGCCAGAATATAGTTCTTCTCTAGCTGTGGTTGCTGGTTTTGAAGGGTTGAGGTGATGAATATCTCCTGCACCACATAAGGTGATGGAGAAATTTTTCTGATCATCAGCTCTGACTTTTCAAGCTGTTTGGTGTCTTATAATACCGGCCTGTCCCCTCCTTGCAAAGCACAGGCTGTTTCAGTGACACAGAAGCAATTGCCCTTTCGGGTTGGTGCCTGTCCCTGACAGGTCTGTCTCTTCTGCCAGGGTGTCCTGACAACCTCCCAAGGACATTACACAGCCCAGGCTCACATCCTCACTCCTGCTGTGAGAGCTGCAATGGTGAGGAGCAGCAGGAGGGATCAAGAACCAAAACCAACTCAGGATATGACATCCAAAAGCTCAGAGGTCTGAAGGTAGGAAAACTGTTTGGTGCATATGGCAGCAATCAGAAAGCAAACGTGGTCCTAAGGGGCATGAGGATGTTTTAGTGGGAGAAGGAAGGGAGCCAGAGACACTCCCCCCATCCCTTTGAGGAGTCATTATTTCTAAGGAACAGCTTTCCAGAAGAAAAGATAATTTTTGTTAGGATGGTTGAGAATCTGCTGTTGTTGCAGCTTGGGCAATGGCAATAATGGAAAATCTGATGTATAATGCACCCAGTGTTCACTAAAACCTTTCAGAAATGGCCAGGCAAACACATTTTCTCTGCCTTAATCCAGAGGTTGTGTTAAGAGGTGTGTGACTCGAGTAGCAATGTGGCCCCTGGCAGGCTGGGAGTGATGGGAGATCCATAAAACCCACAGTGACTCCATGCATTTCCCCAGTGCCGGGCAGCTTTCACCCCCTTTTCCTTCTTCCCATTCAAAGGGATGTGCTGATTATATGCAACTATGACTATGATTATATGCAAATTGTGACTAATGTATGAAATGAAAACCCCTGCCTGATGGCAGGGAGATCTTAGGCAGCTACTCCGCAATTACTGCCTCGCTACGATTTCTGCCGGGTGTTACTTACTCCAACACAATACTGAGCACAGGCAATTTACTGCAGAGGTCATAAAAAATCTCATTAAAACCACACCGTTTAAGGCAGGTAGTTTCCCAGCTCCTGTTTCTGCTTAGTGCAAAGCCTTGGAGGCTGGCTGGGTGGCTGCCCAAGGGAAAAATCCCTCTCTGGTGTGAGGAGCAGCAGTGGCGGCGCAGAGGGTGAGCTGTGTGTGCTCTGCAGGAGGAGGCAGGAGCTGCTGAGCTCCATCTGCTTCACTCCCTGCCCTGCTGAACCAGGGATGTAACCTGCTGCTGAGAGTGCAGATGAGATGCAGGGAGCTGAGCAAGTCTATCGAGTAGCAAACAGCCTGGGTTTAACAGCCATTTCTTTCCTGGGGACAGCAAAACCCCCGGGGACTTGGCACTCTGTGCCGCAGGATGATCTCTTGAATACCCTGCAAGATGCTGGACCGAGTTCTCTGGGCAGCAGCATCAGGTGCCTGCGGCTGCTGCTCGGAGCAGGCAGGGCCAGTTGGCAGCGGTGCAGCGTCGTGCAAATGTGCTGATGTAGCTCTGCCTCCAGAGCCCCTGCCAGGGGGAGGCCAGGCAGGCACCGGAGCTATCTTTGTGCAGTGTAATTTACTGACAGCCCCAGCTGTCCCGTCTCCTGTTTGGAGGTGGCAGAGACTCCCCACAGAGGTGCCACAACTGTGCCAGTCAGGGTGTCAGACTCTCCCAACAGCCACCACCCGGGCATTCCGCCTTTTCCAGCTGATGGCTGGAGCCAGGAGGCGGCATCTGGGCAGCCCGGCTCACGCTGTGGGACAGCGGGATGGGAGAGGGAGGAGCAGTGTGGGGAACAGGTGCTCCATGGGCAGTCATCAGCCTGGCTGGGGGGCAAGTGCTTTTAGGCAGAAACACACCAGAGATGATCCAGGGAAGGTGTTTCACATCCCTGTGACTGGAGGCTCACTTCAGGCCGAGGGAGCATGAATGTAACTATGGGTGTTGAAAGAGACCAACAAAACCCCATCAGTTCAATGATTTTTCTTTCAAGATAATTACAATGTATATTTAAAATGAGTTAATGTCTTCCCACAACACCCTGGTTCATCCTTCCTTTTTTTTTAACTTTCACCTATAAAACTTTGTTTTGTATTGGACTATTATGATTTACAGAAAGCATTTGATGTTGATGGGGAGACAACACAATAGTATCAGTTACCCAAGGTGAAATTTTTGTGTATACAGAGAGAATTTAACCTCAAACACTCAGTTCACATATCCATGTGTGATTTATATTGCCCCAGGCTCTGAGGCAGAGTGAACATTGACACCCTTTGATGTTGAAAGAAGCCTAGTGACTGGCCTTTGGAGAGATTTGTGATGTCTCTATCAGCCTGTCAATGGAAAACCAGGCAGCAAAGCCAGGCCCCCTAAAGATTTCAAGGCCTTGTAGGCAGAGGGATCGTGTAAGCATTTTACTTCCACCAAGTGCTTGAGAGGCTGAGCAGACACGGCCGGGCTAATTGACTGCTCACAGGGTGCTGGGCTGCACTTGGCATCTGCACGACTGTGGATGACCCTTTCAGCCCAGAAAAGGTGCCAGTGTCACCAATGGGGACATTTAACAACTGCACACCTCTGGAGGACTTTGGTTTCTGTTGCAGCTGAGTAGGGATGTGATAACCCTCGGCCAAAGTAAGGGATAAACCTTCATTATTAGAAATGGAAAACATTTTCATGCACTTGTTGAGAGGCAAATAAGCTCTGTCCAGAATTTACTCATTTCTGTGATATCAAGCGTCTAGGGTTTGCCCAGAGAAGCCGTGGATGCCCCATCCTTGGAGCGTTCAAGGCTGGGTTGGACAGGGCTTGGAGTGATCTGGTCTAGTGGAAGGTGTCCCTGCTCATGGCAGGTGGTTGGAATGAAATGATCTTTAAGGTTCCTTCCAGTCCAAACCAGTCTGTGATCCTGTGATTCCACAGGTCTTGAGTAGGTTTGATAGCACATATAGGAAAACATTTCAGCACACACACAAAAAAAGGGCACCATCAGCATATTCTGCACTGCACCTCCCCGGGACAGGGGCAGATCGTGCACAGAGCAATGGGAAGCAGGTGGCCTTCACAAGGAGCTGATGTTCCTGTGCATCGAATTCCCAGGAAATGCGCTGAGTAACACTTTGTAAGATAGGATTAGAATTCAATACAATGCTGATAGATTGGGGAAATGGCTTGAAAACAGTAACATATGAGACAAAAAAGACAGCTGTAGGGTGGTTTACACAGAATTAGGGACTGCTGGCTAGGCACACTATGAACTGAGGATTACTGGGGATTACACACTGGAGATGCATCTGAAATATGATGCTGCAGCACAAACAAAGGACCAATGCTTCATGCTCATATTGAGCCTGAGAGCTCCTTTGAATCAGGTGTGTCCAAGGTTGCAGCTCAACAGGAGAGGTACAGAAACCATCCAAGCACTTGGAAACTAAGCAAGGGAGAGCTGGTATGTACCACTTGGCAAAGAAAGACTAAGGAACTGCTTGTGAGGGAGAGACTGTGGTAGCCAGAGACTGATTCTGCTTCCTGGTTGTTGAGAAACAAAAAGCGAAACTGCAGGTAACTTGGAAGCACAGAGGAGAACGGGCAAAGGTCTCAGTGAGAAGTGTCACTAAATGCCTTGCTCCGACAATGGCTGCTGTGACACCAGGAGAGGAATCGTGCTCAGACTGATGCTCTGTGTTTGGTTCATTTTACATGTGATTGAGGCAAAAACCTGTAACTTCTATTTTTCTGAAGCCCAATTCTGAAGGGGCAGAAATATGGCAATAAATTTCTCTTCCGCTCTGCCTGAAGCACTGAAAAGCCCTCACACTTATAGCATTAGCAATGCCATGTATTGTCCTTAAAATGCCTTTGCCCTTTGGAAAATCCAGCACCAGCACCATCCTTCCCTGTCTCTTCCCTTGTGCCCTTCAAGAGAAAGGACAGTGAATTCCCAGGCTTAAAGGTTGTGAGCAGAAAATCTGAGGCAGGAGAGCAGATATCTGCAAATTTGCCTCAGTGGGAAAGTGGAGAATAATTGTGGGTTCTGATTTTCCAGGGAGCCTCTGTGGGGAACTAATAGTCTAGACTTGTCCTTTTTGAGGCCTAATTATGTCTCTCTGTCAAACTATAAAAACAACAGTCTGTGGCATCACAAGGGAAAATGAAAGCTATTGGCCTGTGTTCTGCATTTAATAGGATGTCAAATCTAAAGCACAGTCTGACTGGTTTTTGACTGAGGTTAGAAAAGAAAATGCAACTAATTAGGCTGTTTCTGAATCTCCCTCGCTGTCTAATAGCTGTAGACTTGCAAATTGTAGCATGCTTGTAGTCCCAAACCCTCTGATCAGTGCTGCTGTCTGGAGGGGAGGGGTCTTTTCCACTGATGGGACTCAGACCCCACTTGAGCAGTGCCACTATCAGTGGGGACAGTTCCCTGGCAATGCCTTGTGCCATCGTACCTCTCTGTGCTCCTTGGGAAGTGACACATGCTGTTGATGAATAGTTTTTTACAACTTGCATTGGTGATTAATTTCCAAAGTCTTTGAAGATGAAGGAGCATTTGGAAAGTATGTTGGGTATGAAATGCAGCCTTTACTCTTTAGGAATTGAAGTAACAAAGAGTGGTGTCCAACTATATAGAACTTTATATAGTTCTATAGTATTATAAAGAACTATGGGAGCTAGAACTGGCCTGGAAAATACCCGAGACATCTTATGTGTGAGCTAAAGCAGTTTGTTCCAACCTTTTTCTAGCCAAGGTGCTCTTTCATGTCCTGCTCTTCCACCTGCACCCAAGTTCTGACCATTAACTCTGCTCCCAGACCCTTAGAGCTGCCTCCTCCCTATTTGCATCCTATCCTAAGCAAGCACCAGATGATGACAAGAAAACCTGAGACAACAGGAGGTGATGGCCTATATTTAAATGGCCAATGCATTAATAATTATACCTTGGAGTCTGCTATGTCAGGGAATGTTAGATGATGTCCTAGTGCCTTCCTCTATCCTTTGGAAGTTAGTTTGAGGGCTTTTTTTCACGTGGCAATAATTTCTTGGAGAAAACGGCAGCAGTTACAAGTTCCTTTTACCTTTCCCTTGTCAGCTGCCCTCATTCTGAACCAACGCTATGCTCAGCTGGCTCCTCATGTTTTACAGATGAACTGAAATAAAAGTGGAATTTGTCCCACTGTGAGAGAAAGGAAGAAGAAAAAAATAACTGTCTACAAGATTTTTCATGCAAGTCCCACATCCTTAGTTTTGCCCTCTTTTTGACACAGAAATCTGATTGTCTTCTGCTCAGACATTCTGGGGCGCCTTTCTGGTTTTCATTCTTCTTTCTGACCTCACTTTGGGTTAGTCAGGAAACTGCCAACTTTGCCTCACAGTCAAAGCTAAACGCTGCAATTCAAACTCAAAGGACATCAGTGGGCAGGAAAAGCATGTGGCCTCAAAATGGTGATGTTTTGATGTCATTTCTGCAGGGTCTTGTAGAGGGATTTGAGTCAGGAAACCTCAGTCAATGAGTCCGTAAGAAAATGAAAGGTTTTTCCAGGAGTCTGCCTGAAAAGAAAGAAAACAAGTGGAAAAGAGTGGAAAAGGAGAAAGACTTGCATAACCCAAAGGAGCACAGGAAGCAGAGAGCACCTGGATCTCCTTGGTGACTGCCAAAATACTGTGTGACGTCACTTCAACACTCACACGGAGACTTACAGCCGTGTTTTCCAATAACTGCACGCTGATCTTGCCCACAAATAATATTTTCTGCACACACAGCTAACCCATGCTGTAAAGTGTGTCTTTCCCAGGCTGTAGCTGGCAAAGCAGCTTGGGACTAGTACTGAAAACACTAGAAAACTTTGTCTAGGCAGATTGTTCTTCTCTGGCTTTGTGTGAAGATACCTAACTTTGTTGAACCCACAGATAACATAGACCAACATCCACTGTGGCAGTGCAAAGGAAAGGAAAACGACTTTGCCATGACTTGGAAATGTCTTTATTCTTGTGTCTGTCCTCTGTTCCCAGTTGCAGAACTGATCCCCTAAAAATGAGGGCGACAAACCTGTGGCCTTTCTATGGATTGTTCTCAGTGGAAGAGATCTGGGCAGGAGGCAGTAGCTTCAGTTTGGTGTAACCCCAAGGTACAGCCATGAAGGTGCCTCATCTACTGCCAAATCCTGCAGCCCAGGCAGGGACAGGTCACAGGCTCCTTTCTGGGGCCCTTGAGCACCAGCTTCCCCAAACTTCTGGAGAAGCTTCTCAGATAAGCCCTCCAGCTGTATTTTCAGGAAAGTCTTTGAGAATGGTCTTAACCTAAATAGCCATGTAAGTCTTACTGAATCTTGGTAGAGAGGATTTATACATTGTGCTTAAATGATTTCCCAGTTGTGAGCAGCAACCCTCAGTTGGGTATTGCTGCCAGTTGAGCAACCATCGCCCTCTCCCAGTGTGAGTAATGGGTGAGTTGGGCAGTGCAGGGAGACCAAAATGATAAATTACTGCTTCTGAGAGGATGATCAGTTTGGTTATTGCCCCCCACCAGCTCTGTCCTTCTGCAGACGTTCACCAGAGTTTCTCCGATCAGCACAAAAATCTTCTTGGCCACCCCTTATTCAGCACAGCTTGTCAGGGGCTGCAGAAGTGGCACATCTGAGCACCAAGGCACAGGTCTAGATGGTTTAGGAGTTTTGACCTTGACTGAGCCAGTCAGAAATTGCAACTAAAATACAGGCTTGCAAAGGGAGGAGGGAATTAATAACCACACAGCTCCTCAAATTTAGCATAAAAATTATCAACCTGGAATTCTGGAGGTGGCATGGTTTGGGGTTTTCCCCCTCTGTTTCCATCTGTGTGGCTTGAAGGGTTGGAAGGGACCTGCTGCTCAAATAAAGGATTAGTTTTGCCTTTTAATCCATGACATAAAGATGACATAAAATTTACCCCTGTGAGTTGCCATGTAAATGAATCCAAGTCAAATAATGCACAGGGAGCAACAAAGCAGCCCAGCCTGCTCTGCTCTGCAGTGTGGGCACTTAATTTGTGAGTGGAAATCCCAGGAACTGCAGAAGACCAGGGCTGTTTCACGTGTATATCCCCACACAAGGCTCCCTCCCGCAACAAATGATTTATTTTTATTTTTTTTTTTGGGAGAGGGGAGTTGTACAGGGAAGGAAAAAAGGTCGTCCAATCCGTGTTAGTTGATGGCACAGATTCCTCGGCTACCAAACGCAAGGGCCGAGCAGAACAAAGAGATTTGCATTCTAAGTGATGCAAAGCAGGCGGCAGCGTTTTAATGTTGTGTTTGCTCTGTGATGTCTTCATCAGGCGCTCAAAGACAGCGGCTCTGGCAGCCGTGGGTCCCCGCGAGCCTGTCAAACTCCGTTTCCATGGTTTTCCTTCAGGCAGCACCGTCGGCAGACAGCACGGAAACGGACCCCTGCAACCTGTTCTGAGCAGTGTCTCTGATGTAGGGCCCCAGAGCGGGCATCAAACTAGCAACAAGCAGCAAGAAAATAACAATTTTGCTTCTCGCAGGTGTCAGAGCGGCAAACAAAAGGCTGTTTATAAAAGATGCAACATCCCCTTTTTGTCGGCGTTGGCAGTTTAAAGTCAGCCGGGCAGCGGTCGAGCTGAGAAGGAGGTTTTGGAGGGGGTGTGCTGTGAGAGAGGGAATTCAGATTGTTTCCTCTTTAATCCTTCAGCCTCACTAAATAGGGCCTTCTCATCACCAAACTAATAGCTGTTAACGGCGTTCCAATTATTCCATTTGAGTCAATGAGGAAGGCTATTTTCTTCAGACAATTGTAGTTTTTTCCAGACAAAGAATCAGTGTCTCACTCTTCCCTCACCTTGAAGAGCGCCCTTTCATTTAAATACAGAGTTCAGAATATTTTAATATGAAGCCGTATTTGAGCAGTGATGCTGCATATTCCAGAGGTGAGAAAGAACTAGTCTGTGGCCTTTTGCCACCGTGGCTGCCTATGGGCAGTGTGACATGGAAGCACCGTCTGTGCTAAAAGAGCAGAGGTCAGGAGAGCACCTCTCAATGCCTCAGTTTCACCACGTGTGAAATTCGGATAATGATTTAGTTCTTCTCTGGTGAAGGACATGGAGTTTTTTGCCCAAGCATGATATAAAGCTCACGGCTGCCCTTGTGGTTTTCATGACACAACTGACTGGAGCAGATGCAATTCCCTCAAGGAACAGTTTTCCATTAAAGAAAACTGATGGGTCAGATGCTGTCCAAGTTACAAGAGAATCTGCTTTTTCCTACCAATTAGCTGATTTTGTCACAGCTGCTTGGGGAGGTACTGGGAGCCACCAGGCTCCTTGGCTCCTGCTTCCTTTGCAGTGCATCTGCCAAGCCAGGGAGAATCCAGGAGCTGGGAGCATTAGATCCCAAGCTGCCTCTTTATTTCCTGTAGAGGAAAGGCTCAAGTGGACATTTGGTTTTACAAGACTTATGGCTTCTGTGCAGGAGCTGTAGATGGTCAGCTGGGGGCTTACAACATGATACACACTCGTCAGGGATTGCCACATCAGGGCTTTTTCCTTCCACATCCATACGTTGGAAGTCAGCAAGCTGTAAGGATGGTGGTCAAGCATTTCTAGCTCTTCGGGGGCTTTGAGGTTCCCAGCCGCTCTTTGGCTTTCTAAAAAGAAGCCACAGCTTCATATTTCAGCTCCTGATTTCATGGTTCCCACTGCCTGGGAGACGCATTTTTGTTTTCTTTAATGGAAAAGGTTGGTGTTTGTGGTTTTGCTCCAAATTAATGTGGAAGCCAATGGAAAAAATAGCCAAGTCTCATCCAGAACAGAGATGCATTTTTCTGTAGATCTTTCAGCCCACATCACTCTAGTTCATGGTTTGACTGAAGTACATTCAGCAAATGCTGTTCTTGTCCTCACAAAACTCACCTCCTACACTTCAAACTTTCAGAGACTGATTCAGTACTTTAACTGTAATTACATGGCTCGTTATTTATTGCACAGTACCTGCATATGGAGCAGACTGAAGTCACTCAGTGTGTTTGGAGGTGCTGATAGTGCCAGGGAGCAGATACAGGAGATGCAGCTCTGCACCTGAAATCCTACTCTGACCCTGTGATGAAAAGAACAGTCACAAGATCTGTAGAGAAAATGCACTTAAGATTGAGAAGGTTTTCAAACTGGTTAGGACATATTGGTTATTTCATTTATTATAATTTTTTTAAGACTTTAATTGATCTATTAAATAAAAGCAAAGCATTTTAAAAATTAATACCATTTCTATTTACAACTAATCAGTGCCAGGACAAGGCCACGTACATCCATATTGATGGTATAGGCAAAGTATTAACAGATCTTGGCGTTGCATATGAGCTTTCTGTGTCCCAGGAATAGTTAAATTCTTTTTCTACTGATAGAAACAATACATTTGTTCTCAGTGTATTGCTGTACAGTGCTGAATTTGCTCCGACTTCTCAAGGGCCAAGTGTGGAACAGAGTGAGTGTTCAGTGAAATGAGCAGTGTCTGGCATGAAGGGACGGGGTGAACCAGCCCCAGACTCGAGCAGAGATTTCTTTTGATCAGAGGAACTGCTCGTGACTTTTGTTCGGCGCCTCATGATGCAAAAAAAATCCTCTGGTGGAAAAAAAAAAAGTGCCTGTGTCACAGCAGAGTCAGGAGCTGGCAGGCATAGTGCACAGTCTATTTTTTTTTAATGAATAGTTGTGTTTGCAGGGTATTGCATGATCACACCAAGTGTGGCTTTGTATTGTTTCCCAGTTTTGAAAATAGCTGTAAGTGGTGTGGATTAGAGCAAACAGGCAAAGCAGAGCTGATTCATTCAAGAATGGTTTGGAGCTGTACTCCTGTGTAGCAGGGGAAAGGGGACATATCTGGGGAATTACTGGAGGGAATTGGGAACAGTTACTTTAAAACTGAGGGCTTTTGAAAAAAAAAAATATCTCATCTTCTGTGTATAGCTGCACTGTTATTTATGGATGGGGACAGAGCTGGAGAGAGGGAGGGAGGGGTGCCCAGGGATGCTCACCTTGTGTTCTCTCCATTACTTTGTGAACTCTACTCTGAAATCAGGAGATTTACAGATATATTTACTTTGGAATAAGAATACTTTGTTCTGGTTTGGAATAAACCTTTCCCAGAATTGGACTTGTCACTTTGTACAGGCAAGATTTGAGGGCTGCACTGATCTGTACGGAGAAACAGGCTCCAAGTGTGGAAGGGGAGAGAGAGCCTTACCTGCGAACACACTACTTGTCCCAGCAGAGTAAAACTACAGAGGGAAAAAAAATTGCTATTCTGGAATGAGGTTATGCACAGTTACCCCAGGAGTTGGGCAGGATGAAGCCTCTTAACTTCTTGTGTGCTGGGAACCAGGTAACACCTTTGAGCCCCATCACCAAATTATTCACTATTCCATAGGATCTCCCTCCTGTGGATGTATTCCCAGTCTCATGCTTTGATTTAGCAGCGTGATCTCACCATTACCATCGTTATTATTTTATTTGCTATTCTTTTCAGGCTATTAGAGAAAAGTATTTTTACGGGAGAAAAACAGTCTGAAATCTTACTCTGCCAGTAAGCAGGCATTTATCATCTAAGAAGCCTTTCTAATCTGTCAGATTAGTATTATTCTTTGGAGTCGTGGCTGGGAAAGGTGAAAAACAAAATCAGAAATGACAAAGAAGTTAGCATGGCACAGTGTGCATGAGGTACCCTGAGCAGAGAAAACACACTGGATGACACACTCGGGGTGAAATAGAAGTGGGAAAAAGTAATTTTATCTCAGCACTTGCTTTGGCTGACTTCTCAGTCGCCAGCATATTAATGGCTCTTCCCCTAGCAACTACAGAGCTTCCAACATGCAACTATTCTTTGGTCATAAAGACAAAAAATGGTGTTTGCCAGAACAGAGCTACCCCATTCTGGGCTGCTGACAACAGTCCCAGACTGGCCATATGCTCTGCTGCACTCAGAAGTGGTAAAGCAACATTTTTGCTCCCGCTGGTGCCGGTGGTGTCCCTGCAGTTGTTATTGTTTCCATCCAGACCCTCTCCTCTTCCCTGGAGCTCCTGCCTGTGCTGTTCCAGGCTGTACCCATAGCAATGTCACAGCTCCTGAGCACCGAGGAGAGTGAACAGATGTAGCTCTTGTCACATCCCTGCGAGCCGGTGGCACGGCCTGTCTCACTCTGTTCCTAGAAATGCAGGATGGCTGCAGAGCAGTTCAGAGTGGAAAGGGACATGGATGCTCCCCACGGGGCAGGTCCAGCCAGAGGTGGGTGACTGGCCAGTGTCCAACGGGGGAGGGGGAACAGGACTTGCCACCTTTGGGGTTGTGGGGGCTAAGAATAATTGCTGTTGAGATGGATTGTGTGTAACCAATGGGATGGGGAGTGAAGAGTGAGGTGGGAAACGACTAGTGGGTCCCTGACTCCTCTAGGAAATAGATAGCCAGTTCTCATTTCCTGCCCAGCAGGAATTCAGGGCTCTGAAGGGTTTGGTAGAGGTCAACTAAAATGTTCCGTCTCTCGGTGAGCACCTTGGGATTTAGATTCTCTCTGCACATGGGTGTTAGCTGAGTCCCCCAACACTGCCTATGAGGACTGTGTTTTCGTTACAATATGGTTCAGGATCAGCTTAAGCCTTTGCTGAATTTTAAAGGGTGATCCTATTTTGTCCTCCATCTTTCAGCTAGACTCCCACATCTTCCTAAAGTCTAGCCAAAATTTTATCGTGGAATGGGCCACATGGCTAAAGAAATGCTGTCTGTGCACAGGGTGAGCAGAAAGGTAATGATGGTGGCAAACTGGCCTCACATCTAGCACTATCACCTTTGACTCTGTATTAAGCATCCTGATGCTGACAGTCCCCTGTGGAAATCTGTGCCATTTTACTGACTTAGGGGTTCCTGCTGCAGTGGACAAGCTCAGTCAAGTCAGCAAAAAAGCTGAAGGTGTATCAAAACACCAATTTCTACCTTTAGCCATTGGCAGTAGAGAGAGAAATTGATTGTTCTGATTTCTTTCCATGGAAGACAAGAGTGGACAAAATACTAGGTTCTTTCCACTATTAAACCTATTGTCTTCCCAAACCTACTCTTATCACAATTTGCTGTGTTTTCAGAGGAGGAGATTCAGTGCTACATGCTGTCTTTAGGGTAGGAATTTTTGTGTTTATCTGCACACTCACTGCCAAGGCAGATAAGAGAGTTTATTCTCTACATTATCATTATTTTTCTTCTTCCTAGGAGCCAGACTGACTCTAAAAAGAGAGGTAAATATTTGAGCTCGTTGTGCAGACCTAATGTGAGGCTCTGGATCTTTTTATACTTATTTATATCCACTAAAATAATCAGCTTGAAGAGGCTTTTTCAGCTTCTTGGGCTAAAACCTTCCCTTTCCCTAATCTTTGCTTGCTCTGTTCATTATTCTGTGCTAGACTCTTCCCTCCCCTGATTGCATGTTATCACCTTCAATGGAACAGCTGTGTCATTGCTAAAGGGTGTTAATCTTCCCCTACCTAACACCTTATTGACAGCCAGAGTCACGGAGGCCCCCAGTCTTTTCTGACTTCGGTGACTTCTCAAAACAATCCTTATTTTTTAGCTTTTTTTTTTTTTCATTTTGTGCCAGTCCCATCGCAGTCTGATCTGGAGAGGTATCCACAGCCTGGCACAGCCCCTCCTGGGCTGCTGCAGCCAGGCTTGGAATGTTCTGCCTTTATCAGTTCTAGTGATTATAACCAGGAGTATATTCCCTAACAATGTCAAGGGACAATAAGCCCCAGCTAATCAATAAGCACAATACCTATGGCACATGGGAGCCCAGAATAGAAGCTGCTCCAGCAGGTGGGACAGCTGGCTGGAATTTTGATTTCCTGGTTGTGAAAGGCACCATGGCTTTCAGCGAGACAAGAGCAGCACTGACAGTGACAGATCCCCCGTTACATTGTGCCACCAAACAGAACGAGGCACGTCAGCGGATACAGTTCATTTTTCCTGAGAGTTTTGTAATGGGTTGGAATGAGTCTAGAATTTCATTTTTTCTGAATTCCCTTTGTTTGCCAGCATTCTGGACTGCCCTGCGGTTTCCAAGGTCACCTTGACTTTTTGGAGGTCTGGAGTGCTGCCTTGACTCTAGAAAGATCCAGGGCAAATTTGTGTGCTGAGCTGATGCCTTAAAACAGCTCTGCCTTAAAACAGCCAGCACAGCAGGTGGCACCCCGGTCAGGATTTCTGCCATCCCATGAATGCTGGGTCCAAGGGGATCTTTTCCAGAGAGTGCAGTGGAGGAGAAATAGGAAGCACACCACTTTTTGGTCTTTACGCTCCCTGACAGTTAAATAAATGCAGATATTCAGATTTATCCCACCGGGGCTCCAACACAGCCCTGAGGTGCTGAAGTTGGGAACAAATTGCCTTTTCCTCTAAAGTCAGTGGAAAGAGATTGAAATCCCTGAGCCCACTGGTGTTACTTCATAGAGGTCTCCCCGTGGGTGACACAGGAAACCTCAAGCAGCGGTTCCTAATAGGAGAGATGAAGCAGTTAATCACCACCAGTTGTCCTGGTCTCCTCTTGGAGCCACTGTAGCAGAGCTGTGGCCACCAGAACTGGGACCTGAGCTTCCCACTGCTGATATAACCTCAATTTCCCACCGAGCCTGAGCATTTCTGACAGCAGAAAGCATTTAACAGTGGACTGCTGAGCAGATCAAGATGGATACTGTTCTCTTGTTGTTTGGATTAGGAGGTAGGTCCAGAAAAGGGAGACAAATGGGGTCATAAAAGAAATGTAGCATTTATTTTGCAAAGCAATTTACTCATCCTACCTCTCCAGTACTTAAAAAGGCAGCTGGGTGCAGAGGTTTGGCTACAGAACTGAGAACTGGGAGTGTAAGGGCTTTTGCAGGACTTGAACTGATGACCTGGTTTTAATCCCAGTGTAACTAGAGTTACTAATTGACTATGGTCATGAAATTTATTAGACTGGTCAAGCCCAGGGCAATACTAATAGACAATGTGTGCCCAGAACAGCTTTACCTCCCAGCCCACGTACAAGCACTCACCTCATGAGGTTATACCCGAATGTGAAGATACATGTGCTGGCTATGACTATCAGCTGGCCCTCACAGATAGTGTGTTCCTGTTCAGATACTGGGAAAATATGGGTTATTTTGCCACCAGCTGATTCCTTATCAATAAGTGATGCAGCAGAAAACAGACATGCTGAGAGGCTGCTGTCACACGGAGTGGCACCGCACGCGGGATAATAACCCGGGCTTGAACATCAGAGCAGAACATGCCAGGCACCCAATTGTTTTTCTCTTTTCTTTAGCTTTGCTTTTCACACTACACACGAATAACCTGCTCATCTCAACAGCCTGAGCTGAGTCACCACGTGAGCCTGGGGAGCTGAGCTGCCTGCCCGGCACAGCCGCAGGACTGGGGCTTCAGTCAAGTCATTGCTCTCTGCCCGGGTGCAGTGGTTTGATACAGTCATAGGTTACAAATGATTCTTTTTTCCCTTCTCACGAGAAGGAAACCCATCAAGAACTGGATGAATATTTGATCTAACGTAAAATGAAAGACAAATGCACTCAGCCTGATGATAGGTTTGCTTCGGGATGTCGGCTTTGTTCGCTCTAACCAAACTCTGTGCCCAGAGCTCCCAACCAGGCAGCCAAGAGAACTCTGAATGTTATTTAAAGAATTGGTAAGGTCAGGGTGGCCTGAGCCTCTCAGGGCTGAATTAATCTCCTTGGCACAGCAGCCCACACTCGCTCAGCACTTGCTCTACAGGTCCATTTGTGTAGAGCAATGCCATCCAGTGGCTGCTCAGATCCATCACAAAGCCAATGGCTCCTTCCCGAGGAACATTCCACAAGCTGAAATGTTTCTGTTCTTGTTCCCAGCTCAGGCACTTCACATTAAAAGACTGTGAAGACTGTGACAGAGGCCAGCTCAATTGCTTCCAGCTTTTTTGGCTTTTTGCATGTAAAATCCAGTTATGTTTTAAGTATGTTTTAAGCCACTTGAAAATGTTTAATAGATATTTTGGGGGAAATAATATTTTATGTATGTAATCTAAATACACAAATTTATCATCAGGCCTGGATTTCAGTGTGGGGAGTGGTTACATGGAGTCATGTAGAAAATTATGCTGATTTTTGAAACAAAAATGCAGTCTATGAAGGAAACTTTCTCTATCCCAAACCCAGGAGATACTGAGTCACTCAGTGGGACGTTTTTCCTTGAGGAAAATTCCCAAGGGGAAGGATGAGCAAGGGCTGGCCTGTGCAGCCCCTTTGTCCATCGGTGTCAAATTTTAAAGAGCAATACTCTCAGGTACATGGTGTGACTCTTGGGGATGGTCCTGTGCAGGGCCAGAAGTTGGATTTGATGATCCTTGTGGGTCCCTTCCAGCTCAGCACATTCTGTGATTCTGTGACTGTTGCCAGGCTGGACGTGTTGGGGGGCAGAGGGCGCCTTAGACCTGCTTTTGCCATCTCCCAAGGACCCACCATTGCACAGTGGCACAGGCCAACACCCCCTACTGACTAAATGCAGATGTCAATATTTTTGCCTGTTGCGCTCCCCAGGTCAGCTGTAATTGCAAGGCCAGGGGTGTGGGTGATGCATCCCCCCAAACACCGTGACTTGTGAGACACGGCACGTCCCCGGAGCATCCCGGAGTGGCTCTGGCTGTGCCAAAGGGAGCAAACCTGGTCCCTCCGAGGGGCAGCCCTGGCAGCTGGATGGATGTACCTGGTGGGTCTGACCCTCCGTTTGGCTCAGGCCCTTTCCCGCTGCTGCTGAGCCGCCAGCCGGGGCTGTTCCTGCTGCTGTTCCGACGGCTCCTGCTCCGCCGTACAAATTCCAATCAGGCGCAACAAAGCCCACCGGGTGCTGCTGACAACAGGTGTCTCATTAAACATCTCTCAACCTTACAGGCATTCGCATTGACAAGAACCAAACTCACACTCAATCACAGCTTAATCACAGCCAAACTCTATTAACAAGTCATACTAATTACCAACTTCTAACAATTTCTCAGGTTCAGAGGCAAAATATCCTTTCTTTATAGATGAAAACAGACTTGTGATACTCCAGCTCTGGCCATAATTAGGTCCTTTTAAACAAAACAAAACTAAAATAAAAATCCAGACGGATCTCTTTGTGATAGTGGTCCTGGAAGTACAGTTGTACAACGAGATGTTTTGTTTGTTTTAATTTGGTATCTGCTATGTTGCCCACAAGGGTCCAATTAGCTTGTTACAGATGCTTGTATCAGTTTTATCCACTTGTCTTTTTTTTTTGGTGATTTTTTTTTTTTTTAAGAGGGGTAACTTGTAGCACAGATTGCTGGCCTGCAGGCATCCAGAGATCAACAACCAGCTTTCTGTGATACCAAGCCCCCTGTGAAACAGGCAGCCCTTACCCACAGCATTCATAATGCAAAGGGTAAAACGAACAGAGGGGAGGGAGGAGCTTGCGCTGGATTTTGGATTATTGTGGAATAACCTGGTGTGTGCGGAAGTGGCCTGAAGATGGCAATTCTGCCATGGCTAAGAATAATTCTGACAAACTTTAGTTTCTGGACTTTGGAAATTGAAATGCAGGTTTTATTTTTAATCACTCTGCAATAAAACAGAAAGCTCTTAAGATGTAGCTTTGAATTGTACATGTCACTATTTATTCCTGTCCCCTGGCATGCTCAGCACACGTGTAATTCCATGCTAACCTGGACATTTTCCTCCTTTGTGTGGCTGTATCGAGTGCCTGAGCACTTGAGAACTCACTTGTATAATCGATACACTTACAAAAGGGAACATATAAATAACGTGAAGAGTCTGACTTGAACTGACAGTGGGGGTATCGCAGCGAGGGCTAATGCCTCCTCCTTAACTCATGCTGCTGCTGGAGAGGAGAAAACCACACACAACAGACTGAGTTAAGGACTAACATGAGATTTCCCAGCATTTCCAAGCAGCGTGGTTCAAGGCAGAAAGCTTCCTGATACCTGCAGTGCAAAATCCTGGAGCTAAGTTGTCTACCTGTTCTTGGATTTAGTTGCTGTTTGCTTTTCCTCTCCTTAATTTTAAAAGGGAATTAACATTTCTCCTAGAAGACTATGATGATGCAGCTCAGCAGAGACTCACCAACTCGAGGTTTAGCATCAGCAAGTATTTTTACCTCCAGCACAGGCAGTTTTGTTCCTTCAGCAAGGCATGGCCGGAGGAACACTGGATACCTGAAACTCCTGGGAGAAGACTGCGTTTCCTGGGGTAGGTTGATGTGGTGTGGGATCCCAGTTTGTCTTGCTGTGAGGGTCTGTGGAGCTGCAGACACCCAAAAGCAGCTGCAGGAGGGAGCAGGGTGGCACCCAGCTATGGAGGGGATTGGGGCAAACTCACCCACCTTCTCTCCCCACAGGTTCCATCCTTGGCTTTCCTGCACTGTCGGAGACCAGCTGCAACCCCGGTGTGATGAAGAATGACACAATGGCTTAATGGTCATATAGGATGGAGCAAATTGGTGCAAAAATTATTGTTACCTGGCAAAACCAGAGGGTTTAAGGTTCAGTGTTGAAAGCTTTGTCTTGCAAGGGTACAGCCCTCTCATCCTGACACTGCCATCCTTCTCTGTCCTGATGCTGCCTGGGTGCACTGAAGTGATGACCTGCCAGAGGATGGAGCACAGGAGACCATGGATCAGCACATTGTACAAAGCACAACACAAAGCAAAGCCTTTTCTGCAGCTTTCAAGCTGAAGATGGATCAGGCCAGCGTTTCCCTGCTTGCCAGTTTCCCACATGAGCTGGCAGTGGCTTCCCAAATGTGGTTCTGCAAGGAGATGTACCAGAGAAGGACAGGATAGAGGTAAGTAAAGCTGCAGGTGAGTAACAGGGAAATCCTGGTGAGGCAACACATGGGTGCACAGCAAGCCTTTCATCATTACTGCTGCAGCAGCAGTGGCACTGCAAAAGGTGGCACCTCTAATGGTGGAATCTCTGGTTTCAATGACCCTGAGTAGGTGTGCTTGGAGTGGCCACAGTGCCATGGACAAGTGGCATCTCCCATGGCAGTGAAGGTGAATTTCTGAGGCTCTGGAAAAAAGATTAGAGGTCTCAGGGGTTTTTTTGTGAAAATGGTTGTTTTCAGTGTGAGTTCTACTCCTGCTTGAGTAGAGGGAGGAAGGAAAAGGTCTTTGTTGAGAGCCATGGTAAGGCAGGATGGGAGCTGAGATATCCATCTGCAATGGAACAACCATGGGAGCATTCATGTGGTGTTTCATCAGGGCATAATGGGAGATTTTGTCTAACCATAGTCTCATTTCTCTTAAGAGGCTGTTTCAGACCAGAGCAGAGCATCCTTTTCTCTGGCTTTTGCCAGATGAAATTTGGAAGAAGAGGCTAGCAGGTGCTGGCAAAGGCTCCAGAGGTTCATCCTGGATCCCAGTTCCTCCAGTATATAAGCCCAGGGATGAAACATTCTGGCTCCTTTTGGGGAGCACAGCATGTGTGATCAGCGATGACCCTTCCTAATTCTTCCTAGTTTTCCTCTGGCACAGGAAATTCTTTCTTCTTCATGGATTTTTACTATCCCTGAAGTTAAAAAAAAAAAAAAAAAAAGATGTAAAAATTAAAGCTTTACTATTTTGCAGAGCCATCGCTTCTGATCAGAAACTGAAATCCTGCTTTGTGCTCCTTCAGTGTGGAAATCTGTCAGGTAAATAGAAATCACCTCGTAAAAGCCCTTAAACAGCTCTGGTTTATATTTTAATTGAGGAACAGAACATTTTAAGCACTTTTATTGGGTGGCGCCTGCTGAATGACAGATGTCTGCGGCGGAATAATGCTGAGCACACTTTCATAAAACAGAGCAATTCCTTGCTTAAAACATTTACAATTAAAGGCTTGATTGAATAACAATGAGTTCTGTGCATGGAGCTCATTTCTGCACTTGTTTGTGCACCTGAAGCAGGCTGTGATCATTCCGTAGGTTGGATACGAGGTGCCAGTTGCTTTGTTCAATGACCAAATAGTGCTCACGGGCACAGCTGGAAATGTGCCTTTGATTTTCCACCAGGATAGAGATAAGGTGCACTGTGCTGCACTGCCAGACTTGCTAACACCCTTATTTCAGCTGGTTTGGCTTTTTTTTTTTTTTTTTTTTAAGCTGCACGTTAGTGACTCTCCCAATTTGTCAAGAGCCAGAGATTTTAAAATGAACACTAATCCTTTGCAGCTGAGAAAGTCTTAACTAGCTTCTGCTTTACTTTTCCATCTAACTCCTGTGACCCCTATTACTGTAATACCTGAGAACATCACCTCTGGTCATGCACTGAGCCTTGCAGTATCTGAAGGAAGTTAGACTGGCATTAATATTATTTTCTCATGTTCTACCTGGAGAACTGAGGCACAGACAGCTCAAGTGACTCACCCACAGGTGTTCCTTGAAAAGGAGTCCCAGTGCTATAAGAACGTTGCCAATCTTTGACTGGTATTTAAAATTTAGCCTTATGGACATAGAAACAGCTTTAAAACCCAAAACACCCAACAGCAAACCAGATGACACGGCGCAAACCACAACCTTTTGCTCAAGCCAGCTGAGGGACTGAAGTGAGAAAGGATTTCGAGTTTCATCCCTGCTGAACTGAGAAAGATCGTGTCTGAACTGACATCACTGCAGATTTGTGAAGGCTCAGAAAAATCCTAACAGCGAGAACCTGAACTCGGGAAAAACAGGCACGCTTTTCTCAAAAGAAAAGATGAATCCACAGAGTAGATCTTGCCACAGCAGAAGGAACATGTGTCACGGGAACAGCAGAGGCAAAATGTGTCATGGGAAAATCTTGACGGATTCAGCCCAGGACGAGAATATGCAAATTGATACCAAATTAAATGCAATTGAGCAAGATAACACGTATCCCAGCACAGAAGAAAACTCACAGCATACTTGCAAAAAAGATGGAACTTAAATCTAAGGGGGGTCTGAGGATGTCTAAGCAGTCCCCAGTGACTACATTTTGGCAGGAATATGAAAACTTCCCCAAAAAAACATTGTGAAAGTTGTTGCAGGAATCAAACAAGGAGTAACTGAAGTGCAAGAGTCCCTTACAGAACTCAGTGGAAGAGGTGTAACCCACCCTCCAACATAAAAACAAAGCACAGGTACTAAATAATAATATTGTTTGTCTGCTATTAAAAAGTCACCTTGTAGCTCACTTCCAGGATACTGTATATTTTTTCTTTCCTGGCCTCTCTGCTGATAGAGGGATTTTTAAGGGCTGCTACTTTCCAGCTCCAAAGTAGCTCAATTTTAGTTCCAGGGGAAACGAAACTCTCAACCAGCCTTATTTGTAAAATCTTTGAAGATGTGGGAATGTCCTCTGGTTGTAAGGAAAGGGAGTGTGATTCAGAGCTGGGTACAGATATATAAAAGGGTTCAATATTTAATTAAACATAATCTTCCTTGTGCCATGAGTGTCTGAGCTCTTTCAAGAATAAAAATCCTTGGTTTTTATTACACTGTTCTCCAATATGTGACAACACAAACCCCTTTGCAGGGCCGTGCTGGCCCAGCACCCGCCTTCACCGTGGCGGCACGAGCTGCCCTCCTGCTGCCAAGAGAACATTTTGGGAGCTAATAACTTCCTACTTTTACATGACAAATCCATCTCTCAGGGTTGTCAGATTGCTCTGACACATCTCTCCGGTGCCTGGAAACTACCAACACACTCCCCATGCCACTGGGGTGAGGAACCCACGGTGCTGCACAACAGCTCAGGCTGCCCTTAGAAACAAACAGACATTTTCAGCTACTTACAAAAACAGCATAGGAGGGGAAAAAAATCATGTTTTGGGGTAGTTATTCTCTACAGAAAACAAGTGCCCTGATCCTGCACCCATGGCTGAACTCAGCAGGAGCAAAGGAGTTATGCTGGAAGCTTGTGCTGACGGAGGCGCTGGGGATCTGGCTTACAGACCTGCCTTTGCAAAGGGTCAAGACAATCTCACTTAGGGCACAACTCTGTTAGTTTTGTTCTCTTTTTTTTCTTTTTTAATATAAAAAAAAAGGAGAGCATTGGCTCTTTTCTGGAAATGATACTCTGCTCTGTGTGAGAAATGAGAGCAAGTCAGTCTAAAGGGAAAGGGTGCATTGCCTGAATAATACCAAGGTCTGCACTGCGTGGCCCAATTTTGTTTTTACATATGTAAGGTGACTTCTAAAAGCACAGTTTTATTTTACAAACCTCTCCTTCCATTGTTAACCATTCATAGCTGCCACCTACTTAACATAGCTTATTTTAATATTACATGGTATCTTATTTTTAAACCCATGTTCTCTTATATGCCATGTGTGTTAGCATGTTGGTTGCACAGTGTCTGAAAGCTGAAGATGAATTCAGATAGATTTCACAGAGCTCTTGCATTGTATTTCACAGAATATTCTGAGTTTGAAGGGACCCACAAGGATTATCGAGTCCAACTCTTAAGTGAATGGCCTGTACAGGGATTGAACCTGCAATCTTGGTTTTATTAGCACCACACACAATAATAAATAATAACGAAAAGAAATAATCTTTTTAACAGAAAAAAGATAATTACTAAGCAGGATGCATCCTCTGAAAAGGATTTTCTAATGCTAAAGCCAGTCCCCATATGCCCCTTATTCAGTGGGATGTGTTCTTTCAGCCTTGATGGTGGGCCGGGAGGTGTCCTTGGCTGGGGCATTAGCATTCCTGGGAAGTGCCCCGCTGAGTAGGATGAGGGTTTTCAAGAAGAGGCAGCCAGGGCTTGAGTCAGAGCACAGCAGTGTCGGAGTGAATCTTCCGGGGATGCTGGGATGTGAAGCGCTCCTGGGTTTCTTCGACATCACGAGTCTTTGTGCCATATTCCCCAGCCTTTCTCCCAGACGTCTACCAGCTACACCCTTCCTCCCCGCCTGCAATTAGCACTTACAGTGTTGCAAAGGGAGATGAGATTCGCTCTCGCCGTCCTCCTTCAGAGCTCGCTCACACCTTCCCCACTGGGTGGGAACATGTGCTGTGGGTTAGGAAATATTCTCATAGTGGAATTGCATTTGCAGCAATCCTACCCCCCGCCTCCTGTTTGCTGCTGACTATCAGACTCCGCTGCTTCTCGTGGTGTAGGAGCACGTGAGCACAAGAGCTCAGACACAGCATTTGGTTCAGCAAAGCCTCAAATCTCTGTGACTCTCTTCATTCCCCCTCACCCCCCCGTGAAATTGCATATGCACAAATTGGGCCCAGTTTGTTTCATGCAGGGTAACTGGAGCTGGATAAGTGCCTGCAATTTTGGAAGAGTGGGGTGAGGAGAGAAGTGGGAGTGTATGACCATTGACCTTAATTAGAGGAGATAAAAATGTCGAAACATGATTCCTAAGAAAACCAAGGAAGGCCTCTATTGTCGAGTGTTTCCACATGGATGCCACTGAGAAGAGGTCAAGTGCTTTCTATATACTTTAAGTAAACAGCAGATTGTGAGTTCACAGTCTGGACTGGATTTGAGCAGCCTCTGTGTTCTGCAAGATCATAATTGAGTCTTATGTACTTAAGATTTGATATCCACTGACATTATTACTTGAGAGTGCCAGGAAATACAGCAGCGATTAAGAGTTATAAAGTTTGCAAGTAAAACTATGCCCGATGTCACATATGGCTCACCCTGTACTAGAATCATCCTGCTCTAAAAAAGCAGCAATAAGGGATTCTTGTGAAAAAGAGTCTCTGCTGTTGGCTTTCTGTGATAAAGACATGTCTCCTCACATCTTCATTGTCACATAAAAAATGCACAAAGCCTGTAAAATTAAATCTGCTAAATGAGCAATGGGTTATATGTCAGGAATAGAGTGCTCTGAATCAGGCAGCTTATTTACATACTACTGGGAAGAATATCAAGTCAAGTTAAAATGTTATGCATAAAATTCTTCTGTTCTTTGCAGCTATCCAGACTGAAGGTTAAGAACACTGAATGTGGGGGCTTTGTCCCAAAACGAGCTCCATTTCCTTACCTGAAGGTGGGACAACACCGAAATCAGAATTTACAGCTGTATTTCATATCTGCAGGTTCAGCTCTGGTGTCACTGGCAGCAGTTATGGGATAACCAGGTAGCATCTCTTCATACCCTGGAGAGACCTGGCCCTTACTAAAGGTCTTGTTTACGGACAGGGAAACTGAGTCAAAGAGCATTGATCCAAGTCCACAGAAATCAGTGGCAGACCATCCAGAGCCCCAGCAGATCTAATAACTTCTCCAGCTATTACGAGCAGGAAGAAAGGGCCGGAGTGTTGTTAGGGGCATAATTGGAAACAGATGGATCACTGGAAATTTTCTGTCCCTTCAGTGGACTTCACATGAGGATTTCAAATAGTTGGTACCCAAATTATTTAAGGTGTGTATTGCTGGGAGGAGGGAATGAGCCATGCAACTTGGAAGCTCAGTCTCAAAGACTCCTTTTGGAAGTGAAACTAAAGCTTTATATGCACCTGAAGCAAAAAGTCTCTCTCTCTCTCTGCATCTGCCTGTGAAAAGGAAAAAGAAAGAGCAGCCCATTTGTGGATGTGTTCTTATCGTAATTCTGGATTTGAAATATCTGTCCTTGATTAAAGTGGGAAATGCAATTGCACAAGTCATTAATTATTACTGATAAACCGAAGTAGTGATGGAGCCAAATAAAAATCTCCTGCCACTACAGTGGATTTCTGATAAAAAGACAGACCTGGGCACCTGCAGCCTATTTGCATTTCCCTTTCTTTGTGAAATATATGCCTGAACTTCTGGCTCTCCAAACCTCCCTTGTCCTCGGAGTACATGATGTCTATAGGTACGGATCAAGAGACGTGAACTTTATCTACAGCGATGGCAAAAAACAGCTTTCAGTGACTGTCACACGTGACCAGCCCCAATTATGGCTCCTTCCTCATGACATCAGTATGCAATGGAGGATCTCACTTTTTTTTTGCCAGAGGCAAGTGAATACATTATCCAGCAGCGAGGCGTGGGGCAGGCGGCTGCGTAACTCTGGGGTGATTTGGATTCCACGCTCGCGTGGGGGTGTGAGCCAACCTCAGAAGTCATTTTCACTGATGCTGACACATAAGGCTTCCCTCAGAGACCTGTCTATCAAACTGCAACATGCTATGCAGAAAAATTAGATTACTCATGCTACAATAAAGAAGGAGAAGATGACAATGATGAAAAAAAAGGAAGGACTTATAAATATCACAGCTATTTATTAAATGAATAAAAATCCCGATGACGGGGAAAGTATCCTAGAGACTTTTTTTTTTTATTTGTTTTACCTCTTGCAATCCATTTCAAGGAGAGCTAGTTGGAAAGACCCTATTAATTCAGATAGTGCCTCTGGAAAAACCACCTCTTCATCATGATTGTCACATTACTGTACTTGTGAAATATCATCTTAAATAGTCATTACGATTTTGCTGCTGGTTTTGCTGCAGTCAGCAGCAGGATTTCCTTTGGTTTTGGTAAGAGGAGGATCAGGTCCCTCCTCTCTCTCTCTCTCTCTCTCTCTGAATTGCAAATGAGTTGTTCACGTGTCAGCTCAGTAACCAGGCAAAGTTCACGGTGCTCAGTTCAAAGCAATGAGATGAAGCTCAAGGCATTTCCCTCACTGTATTTGCCGAGTTCCTCAGGTCTACAAAAGTGTTAGAGTGGTTTAATACAAAATCCATAAGACAAACATTATGCAGCTATGTGTGAACCCCTGTCCAATAAAATCTATTTTTTTCTTTTTTTTTGAGAAAAATACAAAGTAAGTAAAATACTTAGTAAAGAAAAGAAAAGGCTACAAGAAGCTTAGTAAAATCCTATAAATCAGGATGCTGGACAACTTCAGGAAGGGCAATTTAAAATAAATCTGCAGAAGAACACACACAAAGACACACAATCCATAGCTGGAAATGGATCTGGACAAGTGCTGAGGTTTGAACATCCCAGACAGCACTGCAGGACTGGTTTTACGATATCAGATAATGGAAAGGTTTGGCCAAACACTGATTTTTCTTCTCTAGTAATAACAAACCTGTACTGGGGCTTCTGCCGTATTTTCTCCTTGAGTTATTATTCCCCAGGAATGCTATTTGGGAAGGTTAATTGAGAGTTTCAGCTTCACCTGCCCTGAATCATCTTATGGTTGCACCACTCACAGCTGCGAATTCTGTTTTACCTATTATTATCATTTTTTGAGGAGCCAGTTGTTGTGTGTTGGCTTGAACTTGTGAACCAGCTCCAGCCATTTCCTAGGGGGCTTACTTTCTTTTCTTCAGTCTCTCTTCCAAATACTTCTTCCCAGAGATAAGTTTTGGTTCCCATCCAAACCCAAAGAGGAGAACCATAAACTGTCCTGTGGTCCTGCCTCTTGCACAGCCTCAGTGGGGCTCGTGGCCTGTGGATCAGAGGAAAGAATAGATGCAGGTTTGCCTTTTCCTGCTGATTTTCCAATGTTGTGACACTCATCAATGGATCAACCCCACTGCAGCCTTCACTCTGCTGAGGAGTTTTTTGGGGCTTTGGCTTCTTAATATAGACAGGCAATTTCAGTGTGACCACACAGAGGGGAAGTACATGGAATTATAGGTCTCTTTAAAATTGTCAGGAGCAAATATGATCAGATCTGATTCTTGATCTCATTACTGTCTAAAAGATTTGGCTGGCATTTTTAAATGCCATGATTTATGTTCCTCACCTTAACACGGCCCTCAGTGGTGTAAACCGAGTACCTCTATTATTCTCCAGGGCAACTCTAAAGAATCCAATTGGAGAATTTCCACAACACTGTGTCTATAAGAAAATATTAACATGGATTAAGACAAGTTGATAGATTTTAAACCAGGCTATGCAATGAGAACCAGTGAGAATAAATCAAATAACTTTGCCTAACTGCAGAAAGTGTTTGTAAAGCCCTGTAAGGTTTCCATTTCCTAAAGCCACCTGCCATCTCAAATGCCCCTAATCAGTCACAGATGCTGGATACCAACCTGCTAACCCTACGGCTTTGAGAGAAAATATTGCACTTTGTAAACTCATTCTTGGGTATTTCCTTAATTTTTCTTAAACTAAACTTTCATCCCTTATTTTCCACTTAAATGTAATGAGTTAAATCAACTCTGACATTTTGCCCTGCTTACCCTTACAGTTCTGTTTAGCTGCTTTCCTGCCTACTTCTTGAAAACCAGAAGACCTCAGGTTTGGGGTTTTTTGGGTCTTTTTTTGATCATTATAGTATTTTTTTTTCACTCCACATGTCATGATCGCCTTCCTTGGTGTTGAGCAGTCTTATTAAATACAGAATTTTGACTGTTTCTCTAATTCACTGCTGATGGAAAAATGAATGTTTTTCTGTTCTTATGTTTATCTCCATGATGAAGATGTACCAAACACTGAGGTTTTCTGAAGTACTGTAGAAACATTTTTTAACTCCAAAAATAATTATATAAAAAAACCCCAAAACCTGACCAATAAAAGTCTAATCATGAAGAAATAAGAGGCATTTTAGAGGCTTCATCCAGCACCCATTGGAATCAAAATATGGAATTTCACAGATTAGGGAAGGTACCAAAACGGGCCCTGGTGCCAAATACCATTAGAGGCTGTTCACCTGTACTGGTATCTCAAGCAGAACGGGGGGTTGTCTTGGCTCTGGAAGGAGCCATTATTCCACTTTAGCTCGTGAGGACAGGCTGGGAGTGGGACTTGTAGTGAAGGTAGGAAGCAAACTGGATTTTATTAGTCTTCCATCATCTTTAAGAGACCCCTAAACAGATCAGGTTTCAGCCTCTCCTTCCACTCCTGTGTCAACCGTTGGTTCTGTTTTTGCTGGAGGATAAGTTTCATTATATTAATAAGCAACACAAGTGGTTCCAATTGTGGAAGAACCACTCTGAGCTGTCAGAAATGATCAGAGGAGAAGTTTCAGCCTTTCCATGATCACAGCCTCTTCTTCTGGTGCCTCAACTCAGCACTTCCCCAATGCACTTCACATTTTTAGCAGCCACGACAACAATAAAAGGTACCTTTACATTTCAGCAAGGGTAGAGTATTTCAAGGAACTTTATTCCCTGTTCGTGGCTGTACATCAGTGCTTGGAAACTAGACCCTAATGGGAATAATTGGGCTAACATCCAATCTACTGGCTGGGAGACTGGATCTAGACATGCACTTAAATGAAGCTATACATCTTCAGTCTCCTACTGCAGTCAAATTCCAAACACAAACATCTTTAATCATGCCACTAAACCAGTACATTTGTATTTCTTATTACTGATGAAGAGATACTGAGAAAAACTCACAACAAAATTCTCCAAAAGTTGGATCCCTATCTGAAAGTGATCCATTAGTGCTTACCAGCACCAGCAGTAATGCTCAGGAGTTGTCTCCCTCACATCATCAACTTGAAGGAAAGGATTTTAGGTAGACAAAGCAATTAAGAATTCCTACCAGGATGGAAATATTACTAGATTAATTGTGCAGACAGAAAAACGAAGCACAGAAAGTTTTAAATTCATCTGAGTTCAACAAACCGGCCAGACAAGAGAGGAAGGGTCTGATGTTCAACTCCATGCTCCAACCACTGGCGGGAAATCAGGAACAGGAACACATCACTCCTCGTGCTGAGCCAGCTGAAGCTGCTGGGATTTATGCAGGAGCACATCTCCACCAGCACCCACCCCCCAGGCTGCAGGACCAGGATTTTGGTTCACGGATTTACCACCAAAGGACTGAGAATCACTTCCTCCTGACAGGTTCCCCCACCGCCTTGGGAGGAACTGAGAAAGGTTTAGTTTTCAAATTAGACTCACCCAGAACTAGTCACTGAAATGTCATCTGTATGATGGAACAAAAAAAAAAAAAAAAAAGGGGGACAGAAATGTGAAAGGAAATCTTTGTAGCCAGGACTACCTGACTCTCCCACAGTAGGAGACGCAGGAATACTGTTTCATGTCATGGAGATGTAGTTAAAATGCAGACGGCATATCCTTGTTCTCAGAATCTGAGAGGTGTGGCTTGTGCATGTGGACAAGCCACCGTTCCTCCCTTTGATCTATCACTTGATGTAGAGGAAGGCTTTTATGTGTTAGTCCCATATAATGGATAATTTAGTCTGAAACCATTATGAAAAGTATTACATTTTGGGTACATATGCTTCAATTATTCTTGAAAGTACACAGAAATATTTTCTGACATGCACACAGGTTTCAAGTAAAAAAATAAAAAAAGTCGAAACAAACCCAGAGTTTTTGTTTACCATCCAAGCAAATTTGTTCTTCTGAGGCAAGTTTACATGTATTTTAAAAGAATTTTGCCATTTTGTGATTTTTTTTTAAGGTAGATGATAAACAATATATTTGAATATAATAGGGAAAATGTCAGAGCCATCATTCATTAAAATTACCAGTGGTCAAAGAATCATAGAATCATAGACTGGCTTGGGTTGGAAGAGACCTTAAAAATCATATAGTTCCAACCCCCTGCCAGGGACACCTTCCATTAGACCAAGTTCTCCACGCCCTGTCCAACCTGCCTTGAACACTTCCAGGGATGAGGAATCCACAACTTCTCTGGACAACCTTTGCCAGTGCTCCACCACCCTCACAGGGAAGAATTTCTTAGTTATCTAACCTAATTCTGCCCTCTGGCATTTTAAAGCCGTTCTCCAAACCTATCACCTTTTTACAAACAGAGTTGACCAGAGGAAGGCCTGGCAGAGTTACCCATGATCTGCTGACATGAGACATTTTGACAGTGAGCAGAGCTGGAGTATCCCCTTCTCCCTTAGGAATAGTCTGTACTGGTAGGGCATTTTAAGAAGGGTTTCTGAAAGAGGAGGATCTCTGTGTTTGCTTTCTTCCCCAAACATGCTTGCAATGACAGATCCTGGAGATGGTGACAGCTGGACACCAGTCAGAGGTGAATGCTGACAGCAGTGTCACTGATGGCCTCCTGCAGGTCACTGTGCCTTTGTGCCTCAGTTTCCCCATTTCTAAATAAAGCATCCTCATAAAAGGTTGGTTTTTCAATCAGGAAAATTATCTTAGCATTTAATTGGATTCCTTCTATTTTCTTCTACTGAAGAAATGATGCCTGTGGTCCTCACACAGTTAAAAGGATCAAGCCGAGTTGTGGGCTTGATCTCACACCAAGAGACTGTCTGGGTAGAAGTTGTGGCCATGTAAGATCTCTGAACTGATTGTCTAAACCTGGAGCTGTAGCACTGCTATTTCTAATTTAACTAGAGAAAGAATATTGTA